GCCACCATCGCCAGACAGGTGCGCTCAACGCGCATGCCACCATCGCCAGACAGGTGCGCTCAACGCGTATGCCACCATCGCTAGACAGGTGCGCTCAACGCGTATGCCACCATCGCCAGACAGGTGCGCTCAACGCGTATGCCACCATCGCCAGACAGGTGCGCTCAACGCGTATGCCACCATCGCCAGACAGGTGCGGTCAACGCGTATGCCACCATCGCCAGACAGGTGCGCTCAACGCGTATGCCACCATCGCCAGACAGGTGCGGTCAACGCGTTATGCCACCATCGCCAGACAGGTGCGCTCAACGCGTATGCCACCATCGCCAGACAGGTGCGCTCAACGCGTATGCCACCATCGCCAGACAGGTGCGGTCAACGCGTATGCCACCATCGCCAGACAGGTGCGCTCAACGCGTATGCCACCATCGCCAGACAGGTGCGCTCAACGCGTATGCCACCATCGCCAGACAGGTGCGCTCAACGCGTATGCCACCATCGCCAGACAGGTGCGCTCAACGCGTATGCCACCATCGCCAGACAGGTGCGCTCAACGCGTATGCCACCATCGCCAGACAGGTGCGCTCAACGCGTATGCCACCATCGCCAGACAGGTGCGGTCAACGCGTATGCCACCATCGCCAGACAGGTGCGGTCAACGCGTATGCCACCATCGCCAGACAGGTGCGCTCAACGCGTATGCCACCATCGCCAGACAGGTGCGCTCAACGCGTATGCCACCATCGCCAGACAGGTGCGGTCAACGCGTATGCCACCATCGCCAGACAGGTGCGGTCAACGCGCATGCCACCATCGCCAGACAGGTGCGCTCAACGCGTATGCCACCATCGCCAGACAAGTGCGCTCAACGCGTATGCCACCATCGCTAGACAGGTGCGCTCAACGCGTATGCCACCATCGCCAGACAGGTGCGCTCAACGCGTATGCCACCATCGCCAGACAGGTGCGCTCAACGCGTATGCCACCATCGCCAGACAGGTGCGGTCAACGCGTATGCCACCATCGCCAGACAGGTGCGGTCAACGCGCATGCCACCATCGCGAGACAGGTGCGCTCAACGCGTATGCCACCATCGCGAGACAGGTGCGCTCAACGCGTATGCCACCATCGCTAGACAGGTGCGCTCAACGCGTATGCCACCATCGCCAGACAGGTGCGCTCAACGCGTATGCCACCATCGCCAGACAGGTGCGCTCAACGCGTATGCCACCATCGCCAGACAGGTGCGCTCAACGCGTATGCCACCATCGCCAGACAGGTGCGCTCAACGCGTATGCCACCATCGCCAGACAGGTGCGCTCAACGCGTATGCCACCATCGCCAGACAGGTGCGGTCAACGCGTATGCCACCATCGCCAGACAGGTGCGCTCAACGCGTATGCCACCATCGCCAGACAGGTGCGCTCAACGCGTATGCCACCATCGCCAGACAGGTGCGCTCAACGCGTATGCCACCATCGCCAGACAGGTGCGCTCAACGCGTATGCCACCATCGCCAGACAGGTGCGCTCAACGCGTATGCCACCATCGCTAGACAGGTGCGCTCAACGCGTATGCCACCATCGCCAGACAGGTGCGCTCAACGCGTATGCCACCATCGCCAGACAGGTGCGCTCAACGCGTATGCCACCATCGCCAGACAGGTGCGGTCAACGCGTATGCCACCATCGCCAGACAGGTGCGCTCAACGCGTATGCCACCATCGCCAGACAGGTGCGCTCAACGCGTATGCCACCATCGCCAGACAGGTGCGGTCAACGCGTATGCCACCATCGCCAGACAGGTGCGCTCAACGCGTATGCCACCATCGCCAGACAGGTGCGCTCAACGCGTATGCCACCATCGCCAGACAGGTGCGCTCAACGCGTATGCCACCATCGCCAGACAGGTGCGCTCAACGCGTATGCCACCATCGCCAGACAGGTGCGCTCAACGCGTATGCCACCATCGCCAGACAGGTGCGCTCAACGCGTATGCCACCATCGCCAGACAGGTGCGGTCAACGCGTATGCCACCATCGCCAGACAGGTGCGGTCAACGCGTATGCCACCATCGCCAGACAGGTGCGCTCAACGCGTATGCCACCATCGCCAGACAGGTGCGCTCAACGCGTATGCCACCATCGCCAGACAGGTGCGCTCAACGCGTATGCCACCATCGCCAGACAGGTGCGCTCAACGCGTATGCCACCATCGCCAGACAGGTGCGCTCAACGCGCATGCCACCATCGCCAGACAGGTGCGCTCAACGCGTATGCCACCATCGCCAGACAAGTGCGCTCAACGCGTATGCCACCATCGCTAGACAGGTGCGCTCAACGCGTATGCCACCATCGCCAGACAGGTGCGCTCAACGCGTATGCCACCATCGCCAGACAGGTGCGCTCAACGCGTATGCCACCATCGCCAGACAGGTGCGGTCAACGCGTATGCCACCATCGCCAGACAGGTGCGGTCAACGCGCATGCCACCATCGCGAGACAGGTGCGCTCAACGCGTATGCCACCATCGCGAGACAGGTGCGCTCAACGCGTATGCCACCATCGCTAGACAGGTGCGCTCAACGCGTATGCCACCATCGCCAGACAGGTGCGCTCAACGCGTATGCCACCATCGCCAGACAGGTGCGCTCAACGCGTATGCCACCATCGCCAGACAGGTGCGGTCAACGCGTATGCCACCATCGCCAGACAGGTGCGCTCAACGCGTATGCCACCATCGCCAGACAGGTGCGCTCAACGCGTATGCCACCATCGCCAGACAGGTGCGGTCAACGCGTATGCCACCATCGCCAGACAGGTGCGCTCAACGCGTATGCCACCATCGCCAGACAGGTGCGCTCAACGCGTATGCCACCATCGCCAGACAGGTGCGCTCAACGCGTATGCCACCATCGCCAGACAGGTGCGCTCAACGCGTATGCCACCATCGCCAGACAGGTGCGCTCAACGCGTATGCCACCATCGCTAGACAGGTGCGCTCAACGCGTATGCCACCATCGCCAGACAGGTGCGCTCAACGCGTATGCCACCATCGCTAGACAGGTGCGCTCAACGCGTATGCCACCATCGCCAGACAGGTGCGCTCAACGCGTATGCCACCATCGCCAGACAGGTGCGCTCAACGCGTATGCCACCATCGCCAGACAGGTGCGGTCAACGCGTATGCCACCATCGCCAGACAGGTGCGCTCAACGCGTATGCCACCATCGCCAGACAGGTGCGCTCAACGCGTATGCCACCATCGCCAGACAGGTGCGGTCAACGCGTATGCCACCATCGCCAGACAGGTGCGCTCAACGCGTATGCCACCATCGCCAGACAGGTGCGCTCAACGCGTATGCCACCATCGCCAGACAGGTGCGCTCAACGCGTATGCCACCATCGCCAGACAGGTGCGCTCAACGCGTATGCCACCATCGCCAGACAGGTGCGCTCAACGCGTATGCCACCATCGCCAGACAGGTGCGCTCAACGCGTATGCCACCATCGCCAGACAGGTGCGGTCAACGCGTATGCCACCATCGCCAGACAGGTGCGGTCAACGCGTATGCCACCATCGCCAGACAGGTGCGCTCAACGCGTATGCCACCATCGCCAGACAGGTGCGCTCAACGCGTATGCCACCATCGCCAGACAGGTGCGCTCAACGCGTATGCCACCATCGCCAGACAGGTGCGGTCAACGCGTATGCCACCATCGCCAGACAGGTGCGGTCAACGCGCATGCCACCATCGCCAGACAGGTGCGCTCAACGCGTATGCCACCATCGCCAGACAAGTGCGCTCAACGCGTATGCCACCATCGCTAGACAGGTGCGCTCAACGCGTATGCCACCATCGCCAGACAGGTGCGCTCAACGCGTATGCCACCATCGCCAGACAGGTGCGCTCAACGCGTATGCCACCATCGCCTGACAGGTGCGCTCAACGCGTATGCCACCATCAGGTGCGCTCAACGTGTATGCCACCATCGCCAGACAGGTGCGGTCAACGCGTATGCCACCATCGCCAGACAGGTGCGCTCAACGCGTATGCCACCATCGCCAGACAGGTGCGGTCAACGCGTATGCTACCATCGCCAGACAGGTGCGCTCAACGCGTATGCCACCATCGCCAGACAGGTGCGCTCAACGCGTATGCCACCATCGCCAGACAGGTGCGCTCAACGTGTATGCCACCATCGCCAGACATGTGCGGTCAACGCGTATGCCACCATCGCCAGACAGGTGCGCTGAACGCGTATGCCACCATCGCCAGACAGGTGCGCTCAACGCGTATGCCACCATCGCCAGACAGGTGCGCTCAACGCGTATGCCACCATCGCCAGACAGGTGCGCTCAACGCGTATGCCACCATCGCCAGACAGGTGCGCTCAACGCGTATGCCACCATCGCCAGACAGGTGCGCTCAACGCGTATGCCACCATCTCCAGACAGGTGTGGTCAACGCGTATGCCACCATCGCCAGATAGGTGCGCTCAACGCGTATGCCACCATCGCCAGACAGGTGCGCTCAACGCGTATGCCACCATCGCCAGACAGGTGCGGTCAACGCGTATGCCACCATCGCCAGACAGGTGCGCTCAACGCGTATGCCACCATCGCCAGACAGGTGCGCTCAACGCGTATGCCACCATCGCCAGACAGGTGCGCTCAACGCGTATGCCACCATCGCCAGACAGGTGCGCTCAACGCGTATGCCACCATCGCCAGACAGGTGCGGTCAACGCGTATGCCACCATCGCCAGACAGGTGCGCTCAACGCGTATGCCACCATCGCCAGACAGGTGCGCTCAACGCGTATGCCACCATCGCCAGACAGGTGCGGTCAACGCGTATGCCACCATCGCCAGACAGGTGCGGTCAACGCGTATGCCACCATCGCCAGACAGGTGCGGTGGTAAGGGGCGAAGTGGAGAAATACGCTTGGGCAGCCTAGCGTATTGCGTATATACGCTAGCGTATAATACGAATACGCTGTACGCTATGTAAGTACGCAATACGCTAGCGTATTTCTTGGCGGGCAGCCCGGCAAGAAATACGCAAAGAAATATGCGACAAATTTGCGACATGGCGAAACCCCACAGGGATTTCGCCATGTCGCAAACCGAAATTTGGCTTTTGAAATCGTCAACCCAACCCCTTCGCCCCTCCCAACCGCACAGCACCCCACCCAATCTGCGGCTTCCAAACAAAACCCAAAGAAATCTCCTTCCTCTCCCTGTGTCTACTCTACTCCAGTAGGGTTTAGCGCACTTGACTCCTATGACGAAATCAGGGTACAAGTAAACTGGCGCGCTAACTTCAGTCATTTCTTCTTCCAAGCTAGCGCGGCCAGCTAGCTGGTTTTTTAGCGACTGCGCTATGTCGACCCCTCCACCTAGTCCTGGTTCCCGCGGAAACGACGCGGGAACCTCCCGTGCTGTTTGCCCGGGAGGTTCCCGCTCCTGGAGAACACCACCCACACTGTCTTTAAGCATTTCAAGTTTAAGCATAAGGAGCACGACAAGCAGCAAAAGTACTGGTGCAAGTACTGCCCCGTATCCTTTACTGTGGGACAGCCTACCGCTGCACGCAGCACGTCCTTAGTTGGGATGGTATGCGTAGGCGCGAGGTTCGGAAATGCGAGGAGGTAGGGAAGGAGGAGCAGGCTGCCGTCCGCGCGTTCCAAACCGCCAAAGTGCTCGCAAGGGAGGAGGCGCATAGGGCGGAGGAGTCGGCCCTCGACGCCGTTAGTGGTCGGGGAAAGCGGAAGATCACCGATTACCTGTCCGATGACGCCCAAGCGGCCAAGGCAGTGGCAGACGAGGCTGTTTGCCTCCTCTTTGCCGGCCTCCGCCTTCCCGAGTGCCATGCCGACCACCCGCTTGGGCGCAACGCCGTCCGGTCCGTTGCGCGCGCGGGGACCAGCTATGTGCCTCCAAAGCACGACTACGTGGGTGGTGCCGGCTTGCAGCTATGCCGCAAGCTGATTGACGAAGGATTGACGGGCGTCATGTCGAGCTGGAAGCGCCACGGTGTGACGATTGCCAGCGACATGATGACCGACAAGTGTGGGAGGCCGCAGGCGAATGTGATGCTGGTCAATGACACCGGCGCAGTGTTCGTCGAGAGTATTGACTGCAAGGTGGAGAAAAAGACCGGGGATACATCGCCCGGCTCCTCCGGCCCATCCAGCAAAAGGCTGGGGTCGAGAACATCGTGGCGTTCTGCACCGATGGTGGTAGCAACTACCACAGCGCCTGCCGGCTCCTCATTGCAGAGAATCCGCGCATCGAGCATGTGCCGTATGCGACGCACGTGCTCGACCTCCTTATGGAGGATGTGGGGCGGCAGGCTTGGGCCAAGGAGGTAGTGGGGCGGGCGAGCGAGCTCATCAACTACACCCGCAGCCACCATTGGACCCGACAGTATCTCAGGGGTGTGGACGGAGGGAAGGGGCTGCAGATGCTGAGGCCGGTGGGGACCAGGTTTGGGACGCAGCACATTGCTGTGTCCCGCCTGGAGGAGTTGCGGTCAACGCTGGTGACCATGGTGCTCTGCAAAGCATGGAAGGCGGAGTGGGCGGTGGGCCCAAAGAAGGCAGCTGCAGAGACATTTCACGACCAGATCATGGATAAGGACTGGTGGCTGGCGGCTGAGCTTTTCAAGAGGCTGCTCCTGCTCCCGTTCTAGGCCATGAGGGCGACGGATTCGGCAACGAAGGGGATGATGGGCCGCATCTATGAGCTGATGCTTGAGCTCACTGTGAAAGTGGAAGAACTGCTGAAGGAGGAGGGGGATGGGGTGCTGAGTGCGGGAGACAAGAAGGGCGTCAATGAGATTGTGAAGCGGCGTTGGGATGGGAGTATGGCTTGCCCACTGCACGTGGTCGGGCGGATTCTTAACCCGGCCAACCAGGAGGAGCGGATTTTTGGGCCGGACACTGAGTGCACCGATGTGTTCAAGGCTTCCATTGCCCGCCACTATGGGGGGGTGATGATTCCCCAGAGGGATGGCCTGCCCAAGCGTGCCACACTCCTCCTGCAGGAAGGGTTGGCCACCTTTGTGAAGTTGAGGGGCAGCTTCGGCACGGCTGAGGCCAACAGTGACCGGAAGTTGGTGAGGGAGGGAAGTTGTGGGAGCGGCACGGCACTGACCACCCCTTGCTCATGGCCCTTGCTTGCCGTGTGCTAACTCAGCCGGTGCCCGCATCCCGTTGCGAGCGCAACTGGGCGGGGTGGGATACTGTCCACACCGCCCGATGCAACCGGCTGGGTTCAGAAAAGTGCGCACAACTGGAAGGTTGTGCACAACTGGCACATGGCCGACGAGGGGGCGGGGGTGGTGTCCGGGAACATCCCGGACGCCCCGTCCCTGCGGGGTACAGGGTGGATCGGGAAGAGGAGGATGAGGAGGGCGAAGATGAGGAGCTGCTGGACGAGTACCTGTAGAGCAGAGCAGGAGAGGGTTAGGCAGGTGGTTTGGGGGAGGCTTACCTGAGATGGGTGGTTGGCTGGTTGTTGGAGGAGTTTGGAACCCTTGACATGCCCTTGGTGGCTTGAACTATTTATTTATTACCATGCTAAATGACGCCACATTTGGTGGGGGGAATTTGGTGCTCTGCAACCCCCCTCTTCCCTCTCCAAACAGGTTTTTTTTACACCTGCCCGAGTTTTTTTTAGACCTGCCCGCCAGAGCGTATTTCCTAGCATATCCAATCCCGGAATCAAGCGTACAGCGTATATATGCTAGCGTATAATACGCTGTACGCGTATTTCTCCACTCAGGTAAGGGGTGGTGGCTGGAGGGGTTTTGCACGATATGGGTTGGTGCTTCTGTCGTGTCGTCTGCTCCTCTCCTGTTTCGCGCGCTGTCCCAGTGGCCACCTCACCCAGTCGACTCTTCTCTCACCACACCTTCTCTCCTCCGTCCCACACCACCCAGAGCCACCTTGCCTCACCCTCCTAGCTATTGCATTTGCATTGAACCCTTGGCCCCCTGAAACCCTAAACCCCTAATCTCCTGAACCGTTGAACCCGGTGACTTGTGGCGGCGTGGCAGGAGGGCGTGGCGGCACTGTGGACGGGCGTGGGGCCCAACATCGCGCGCAACGCCATCATCAACGCGGCGGAGCTCGCCAGCTACGACCAGATCAAGCAGGTGCGCTGCAGTGGGGTGTCACTCGGTGCAGTGCGGTTTCAATCTGTAATATTGAGAAGCTGCGAGTGGTGTTCATTCCACGGGTAGGGTATGGCTGGGCACAGCTGGCCACTGTGCCGCGTCGTGTGACTCAGTTCGCACCGGAGTGGCACAGAGTGGTGCGGTGTGGTGCAGTGCAGAGAGCTGAGAGGCAGTTGGAATGGGTTGATTCTCGTCTCCACTTGACCCACATTGTCAATGCTGCCAGCGTTGCCTGTAGTAGCCGGATCGAGTTGCAGTGTTTGGGTCTGCTCATTCTTGCAATAACTGTGGAACTTAAAGTGAGGTTGGGTTGTCATTCTTTTCTGTCTCTATTCGCACCCCTCTCTGCCCTCCCACCTGTGCATCCTTCTCTTCCCATCCCTATGCCTTCCGCACCACCCCTTCGTCTCCCCTTTCGCCCCTATCCACTCCTCATCCCATCGTGCAACCCCATCCCCCCTGCAGTCGCTGCTGAAGGTGCCAGGCTTCGGCGACAATGTGGTGACGCATCTCATCGCGGGGCTGGGCGCCGGCTTCTTCGCCGTCTGCATCGGCTCGCCAGTGGACGTGGTCGGTGCCACGTGCTGCTGTGCTACTGCGCTGGGGGGGGCAGTGCGCTGGGGGGGGCAGGGGCTTGAAGCGCAGCTCCCAAATTGCAAGCTGCGACAAGTGTGCGCGGGTTGGGGAGATTTGGGTCAGACGGGTGGTTGTGAAGCTCACGAAGAGTGGGTTTCTGGCAAACTTCGGGGGCACAACTGGTCGACCAGTGGAAAGGTTACGCTTTCGTGTCCCAAGTTGGTTACACGACTCAGGGTTACAGCTTTAAGCAAAAGGGGCTGGGGTCAGACTAGTTGTACCTGGGGCATTCCCTCCCTTAGCCATATTTTGCAGTTCCCTTGACTCGGACGGTTACAGCGAGAGGTCTGACGCGTTCCGATACGCGCTCGGTCGGTTACAGCTTTAAGCAAAATGCTTGTGCCTTGTAACTTGGGACATGGGCTTTAAATTTCTGTAGTTGATTCACCCCCGCCCATCACCCCCAGCCCCCCATCACCCCTCCCTCTGCCCCCATTCTTTGTTCCAAACCAAATGCCTCCCCTGCTGACTTCTTCTCTTGCAATGCCCCTCCCTCCCGCTCTCCTTTTTTCTGGCCCATTCCTCCCTGCCCATGCCCTGCTGCCTGCCTCCGCTGCTGCCTGCGTGCACCACCGCGGGAAGAGGCGAGTGATGGGCCACAGCATGCTGCAGCACGAGGGGGCTGTGCTCCACTCAAGTGCTCACTCTCCCCCAACCATCCCAAACCCGCTGTCCCCTCACCTCGTGCCCCCCCCCACCACCGTGTGCGGCAGGTGAAGTCGCGAGTGATGGGCGACAGCACGGGGCAGTACAAGGGCACGGTGGACTGCTTCGTCAAGACCTTCAGAAACGATGTGAGGCGTGCGGGGGTGCAGTGTGGAGGGGCGTGCTGGAGGAGGGGAGGGGTATGCTGTGAGGGGGGGGCGTGACAGGCTTTTGGATGTCCGAGTTCGGTTTGGTTGATGTAATTTTTGTGTGCCTGGCTACACACATCTGTGCACACTCACATGCATCTGCATATTGACTCACAACACACACCCCCCCTCCCCCCCACCCCAGGGTCTGCTGGCGTTCTACAAGGGCTTCATCCCCAACTTCGGTCGCCTGGGCTCCTGGAACGTCATCATGTTCCTCACCCTCGAACAGGTGAATGTCATCATGTAACAGGTGCACTCACCCTCCACCAGGTGCTCGCACCCTCCAACAGGCGCTCGCTCTCACACTCACATTCCATGTAGACAGAGTCAGTGTAGTCCCATCAGAGTCAGTGTAGTCCCATCAGAGTCAGTGTAGTCCCATCAGAGTCAGTGTAGTCCCATCAGAGTCAGTGTAGTCCCATCAGAGTCAGTGTAGTCCCATCAGAGTCAGTGTAGTCCCATCAGAGTCAGTGTAGTCCCATCAGAGTCAGTGTAGTCCCATCAGAGTCAGTCAGTGTAGTCCCATCAGAGTCAGTGTAGTCCCATCAGAGTCAGTGTAGTCCCATCAGAGTCAGTGTAGTCCCATCAGAGTCAGTGTAGTCCCATCAGAGTCAGTGTAGTCCCATCAGAGTCAGTGTAGTCCCATCAGAGTCAGTGTAGTCCCATCAGAGTCAGTGTAGTCCCATCAGAGTCAGTGTAGTCCCATCAGAGTCAGTGTAGTCCATCAGAGTCAGTGTAGTCCCATCAGAGTCAGTGTAGTCCCATCAGAGTCAGTGTAGTCCCATCAGAGTCAGTGTAGTCCCATCAGAGTCAGTGTAGTCCCATCAGAGTCAGTGTAGTCCCATCAGAGTCAGTGTAGTCCCATCAGAGTCAGTGTAGTCCCATCAGAGTCAGTGTAGTCCCATCAGAGTCAGTGTAGTCCCATCAGAGTCAGTGTAGTCCCATCAGAGTCAGTGTAGTCCCATCAGAGTCAGTGTAGTCCCATCAGAGTCAGTGTAGTCCCATCAGAGTCAGTGTAGTCCCATCAGAGTCAGTGTAGTCCCATCAGAGTCAGTGTAGTCCCATCAGAGTCAGTGTAGTCCCATCAGAGTCAGTGTAGTCCCATCAGAGTCAGTGTAGTCCCATCAGAGTCAGTGTAGTCCCATCAGAGTCAGTGTAGTCCCATCAGAGTCAGTGTAGTCCCATCAGAGTCAGTGTAGTCCCATCAGAGTCAGTGTAGTCCCATCAGAGTCAGTGTAGTCCCATCAGAGTCAGTGTAGTCCCATCAGAGTCAGTGTAGTCCCATCAGAGTCAGTGTAGTCCCATCAGAGTCAGTGTAGTCCATCAGAGTCAGTGTAGTCCCATCAGAGTCAGTGTAGTCCCATCAGAGTCAGTGTAGTCCCATCAGAGTCAGTGTAGTCCCATCAGAGTCAGTGTAGTCCCATCAGAGTCAGTGTAGTCCCATCAGAGTCAGTGTAGTCCCATCAGAGTCAGTGTAGTCCCATCAGAGTCAGTGTAGTCCCATCAGAGTCAGTGTAGTCCCATCAGAGTCAGTGTAGTCCCATCAGAGTCAGTGTAGTCCCATCAGAGTCAGTGTAGTCCCATCAGAGTCAGTGTAGTCCCATCAGAGTCAGTGTAGTCCCATCAGAGTCAGTGTAGTCCCATCAGAGTCAGTGTAGTCCCATCAGAGTCAGTGTAGTCCCATCAGAGTCAGTGTAGTCCCATCAGAGTCAGTGTAGTCCCATCAGAGTCAGTGTAGTCCCATCAGAGTCAGTGTAGTCCCATCAGAGTCAGTGTAGTCCCATCAGAGTCAGTGTAGTCCCATCAGAGTCAGTGTAGTCCCATCAGAGTCAGTGTAGTCCCATCAGAGTCAGTGTAGTCCCATCAGAGTCAGTGTAGTCCCATCAGAGTCAGTGTAGTCCCATCAGAGTCAGTGTAGTCCCATCAGAGTCAGTGTAGTCCCATCAGAGTCAGTGTAGTCCCATCAGAGTCAGTGTAGTCCCATCAGAGTCAGTGTAGTCCCATCAGAGTCAGTGTAGTCCCATCAGATTCAGTGTAGTCCCATCAGACTCTCCACATCCTGTCCAGTCACGGCTCGTCTAGTCAAACTGATTCTAGGCGAATCTAATCAGTCAGTCATCCCGTCAGGCAGCTGTGAAGCTAGCCCTGGCAGCATGCAGTGCAAGGTGCCCCTCTCTCTGCCTCAGCGCTGTCCCTCTCCTGTGCCTCAGCGCTGCCTGCTGGGCTCTTGTGCATCCGTGCTGCTTCCCATGTGCTGTACGTCCTCTCTTCCGCTGCTCATCCCCATCACGTTCCGTTCTGGCCTCTCCGTCCCGTCACTACAGGTGAAGAAGAACTTCCTCACAGAGGTGCCTCACCAATGACACTGCCCTGCTACCTACGCCTTACGTCCTCGAATATTACATAATCACGTCGACAACAAATATACCTACACCCGGAGCACTAGAAGTTTTTTTGTTTTACCAGGCAAGAGCCGAGGTCTGTCTTATCTTCTCCCAAACATGCTTCTTAGATAGCGCTACTCAACAGTCAGAAATTCAAGGGCCGTCAGTCCGATACATCAGCAATGACACTTGACTAAACCGGTTTTTACACCATGAGTGTCGAGTGACCTGCTAGGGTTACCCTTGAGAAGATCCTTGGGAAGGGCCACAGGTGTAGAGCCTGGGGGGGCTATTGGTGCATTGACATGTTGTATCAAGCCCTTCTAACTTTGTGGTTTCTGGCTGAGTTTCTGACATGGTATCAGAGCGCTGGTGACTAGGGTTCAATCCCCAGAGCTAGCGCTGTAGAGGCGCTTGTGTCTGTTAGAAAACGATAATAACTAGAAGCAAGGGTGAACAAGGGAAATATAGGGTTGGAGTTATTCCCTCTTAAGAACATACATCTATTTAGCCTATAACTTCTACATACTACACCTAGGCTAGGTAAGGGGTAGTGCTGAGCAAGAAAGGAGTAGCTCAGGGTGGCACTACTAGTCCAACCGCTGAGGCAAGTGTTCGAAGACCAGTCAGCGAGAGTACAAACAAGACAAAAGCAAACCAGTGCGACACTACTAGTCCGGCCACTAGAAGAGAAGCCATAAGGTCCTAGCAAGTGAGAGTTTACAGGAACTAGACAAAGCTGCAAACAGTGCCGCTGATGATCTCTGGGCGCAAGCGCCTTAGTAAAGATATTAGCTGTGTTGGCACGGGAGGCCAAGTGTACTACGCGGGCCTGGCGAAGCTGCTGTAGCTCGCGCATGAGGTAAGTACCGCAGCTGGATGTGCTTTCGCAGGCCAAAGACCGGGCGTCGGAGGAGCCACTGGGTCCCTGGAGGGAAGGTACCGGTAAAGCCCTGAGAACGGTGCAGGTAGACCTGCTCATATAGGTTGCCCTGAAAAAAAGCAGTGGAGAAGTTGATGGACTGGAGCTCGTAGTCACGCAGTGCTGCTACGTGTAGCAACGCCTGAAGAGTAGTCATCTTTGGGGTCGGGGCAAAGGTTTGAAAGAAGTCCACCCCCTCACGCTGACTGAAGACTCTAGCCACGTAGTGCGCCTTGAAGACAGGCATCTCTCCAGGGGGGTGCTTCACCTTGAACAGCCACCGGCCATCGACTACGTTCACCCCAAGCGGGGGAACTGCGTCGACGTAGGTGCCGGTTGACCTCCAAAATGCCATCTCCTGCTCCATGGCAGCTATCCATTGAGAGGCCCAGGGTCCCGAGGTCGCCTCAGCATAGGTGCGAGGGGTCGGAATGTCAAAGGCGTCTGGGTTACCCTCACGGACTTGCAGCATGGAACAGAGATGGGGAGCAGCCTTGGACAGGAAAGCACGCTTAAACTGCCTGTCCTCTAGGACGTCACTGCCAAGGGCAGAAGCACCCACGACGGACGGAGGACAGACAGGGTCAGAGACTAGAGGGGTGACGTAGTCGAGGCAGCGGATAGAGGCGAAGTTAGTAACAGCAGCGACAAGAGCGTCAAGAGTGGAGACAGGAACAGACGGGTCGGTAACGAGTGAGGCAAGGTCCCGAGGAACAAGAGAACGAGCGGCATGAAGGTAGTCAGACAGAGGGGGAGGCACGACAGCGAGCGACGATGGAGGAGGGGAAGGCAGGAGGGGAAGGCAGGAGGGGAAGGCAGGAGGGGAGGACGAGACGCATGGGAACGAAGCAACATAGGGTGAGAATGTGGAACAGGTGAGACAGGGCGAGCACGAGAGGGACGGCGAGACCAGACGTGACACGGAGGCGTCGGGTCAGGAGACAAAGGAGGAGTAACAGGAGGGGAACGAGGGGGGAAACGGGCCGGGGACGAGTCTGGCGGAGGAAACACAGGGCCGTAGACAGGAAGGGAAGGAGGCGGTGAGGGAGGTGCAGGCGAGCGGTCGGGGGAAGGAAGGCCGAGCAGGCGAAGGGCGGACACCGGCGGCGACTGCTGCTGCTGCTGCTCGACCCCGAAACCTGGACCGCAAGCTGCACAGCGACTACCTCCGGAACACTCCTCTCCAGCACCCCCAGAACGAGCAACCAACACGAGAACCCTCTCCAGCACCGGTGCCACCCCCGAGCCCGCCGGGACAAGCCACGACAGGAACCCCAGAACTAGCACGCTCCTCAAAGCCAGCACCCCAAGAGTCCATGGACAGCTGCTGCTACTGCGACGGCAGCGGTGGTGGCTGCGGCGGCGACGATGGCTGCTGCAGTGACGGCGACTGCGACGGCGGAGGAGGAGACACCGGGGGAGAGACAGGCGGCAAGAACTGCGCCGCAGGGCCACCAGAGTCGGCCGACTCCTCGACCAGGACCCACGGGATAAGAACGCCAGGCACGTCGGCCTTCCGCTCCAAAGGAAATACCGAGGTGTAGCGCATGTAGTTGTCAACGAGCACTAGAAACTAGCGCTCGCGTCGCGGTCCAAGGACGGGGGCTGGGCCCCAGACGTCTAGGTGCAGGGTCTCGAGGGGTGCGGTGGCAGGACGAAGCGAGGAGGAGTGAGGAGCATGGCTCAACCGGCCCTCAACGTAGGGCATGCACAGCGGCGCAGGTGAGGGAGGGAGGGCAGGAAGCGACGCAGGGAGACCTAGGACGAGACTGTGCTGGGACATGTGACGCAGACGCGGGAGTGCGGGGTGACCTAGGCGGTGGTTCCACAGAAGCGACGGGTGAGTGAGCAACCGACACAAGCACGCAGCGGCGACCTGGGTAGGCGCAATACCCGGGGAGGACGGTCCGCCGGGGGGGGGGTGGGGGAAGCAGTGTCCAGCGTAAAGAGGCTAGACACTGGGTCCCGGGGGAACGTCGCAAGGGGAGAAACTGAGGCAGCCTCGGTACAGACGGCGTACTGCTTGTGACCTGGAAACATAGTGGTGACGCCGAGGTCCAAAAGACAGCCGACACCAACTAAGTTCCGAGAGAACGAGGGGATGTGCAGGCCTGTGAGGGAACCCGAGGGAACCGCTGGACAGGGAAGGGTGGTGTAGCTGCGAGCAACAACAGGACCAGAGGAGGGGTCAGCAAGTGCGACAGCAGCAGGTGCGGCAAGCGTCGTAAGCGCAGCTTGGTCGTAGAAGAAGGCACACGCACCGGAGTCAAGTGTGAAGGACATCGAAGCGGTAGCGGCGAACGAAGGAGGAGCAAGGGTAGAGCCCAGGCTAGACAAAGCAAGCGGTCCTACGCCTGACACAGCAGGGGTGTCTGTACTACACTCAGGTGCTATGCCTAAGCTAGAGAACACAGGGTAATAAGATCCAGACACACTAGAAGCGTCAGCATACAGGGAATGCAGGGCAGAACTAATCTGATCCATGCCTAAGTGAAACACAGGCACACCGTGGCGAAGCAAACTGCGCCAGTCAGGGAGGTCCGGGGCCGGGCCAAAGCGGCGATTGAACAGGTCGTCGAGGCGGTGGAAGCAGCGGGAGGTCGGGTGCGGGCGGTAGCACAGAGTGCCATGGAGAGGCCCGGTCTGAAGTTGGTACTGGCAGTCCACGGCACCGAAGCTGCCGGTAGACGCCGAGCTGCGAGGACCACCACCGCGGCCACCATCTCCAGGGGTTCCTGGCCACCCAGACGGGAGGCGGGCCCATGGCTGCTGCTGCTGTTGCTGTTGCTGCTGCTGCTGTGGCTGCGGCTGTGACTGTTGCTGCTGCATCTGATGCAGCTGCTGCTGCTCGTGGACCCCTGCCCCAGACCCCTCGTTAGATTCATTGTCTCCACCCCCACCAACTCCACCACCAGCACCACCACTACACCCTCCTTTGGGGCCGCGGCATCCCCGACGCTGTCGCTGCTGCTACGGGAAAGCAGCCGCTGCAGTCTCATTGGCAGGAGCAGCTGTAACGACGGCAGCGGAAAGGTGAGCGTACGTGCACTGGGAGGGAGCACAGCCTTGAAAGATTGGGACCACCGCAACACCGCTCGACTGAGCGATAGTGCGCTGGCGAGTCTCTATCTCAGAAAGGGCAATGACAAAGACGGTCAGGGTGAGGTCACTAGGGTGTTGGTTAAGGAAGTGGTCACGGGCAGTGGCTAAGTGGCCAGGCAAGCACATGGCAATAAGGTACAGGGTAGCACAGAACGGTGGCAGTGCTAGCAGCGCGGTAGCTAGTCTCTAGTGCACGACGGTGAGTAGCGAGGTCAGCGACAGTGGGGAAGGCGGAAAGATCGGGGAATAGCATGGGGAGGATCAAGCGGCCAGCTGAGCATGGGTGTGGAGTAGCGCGCAACTACGGCATCTAGAAAGTCCTAGGCGTTCGCGACGGCAGTGAAGCGCAGACACTCAGACAGGGGAAGCGCATGACTAATGGCACGCTGCGCTACAGCATCGCGAGAATCCCAAACAGCACGAGCGAGTGCAGCAGCAGCAAAGGCCTCACTCTTAGCAGTGGTGCGGTTAGCAAGGGGGGGGAAGCAAGCCATCAACATGCATAGCCAGGGAGTGCCCATCCTAGCACTGACCTGTCAGATGCCGGCAAAGATCGACAAGCCAGGCCGCAAAGTTGATCGCGTGCCCCTCCGCATCCAGGCGAAGTACGGCGTCCGCCATCATGCAGCCTTAGCAGCAGAGGTACACATCGGCACAGCGGCACAGGGTCACGGCGGCACAGCGGCACAGGTACTCAGCAGCACGGCGGCACAGCGGCAGGGCGGCAGGACTCTCCGGCGAGGAGACCAGGAGGGAGGCCGAGGAGGGCCCGAGGCACGCAGAGCCGGCAGGGCGCAAAGGGCCGGCGGAGTGCTGGGGGCCCAGTGGCACGAGAGGGCCAGTGGGCACTCGAGGAGCTGAGGCGCACGAGGGGCCGGCGAGGCGCGCAAAGGGCCGGGCAGGTGCAGGAAGGGCTGGCGCGTAGAGAGGGGCCGACTAGGCACAATGGGCCGGCGGTGCGCGAGAGGGGCCGGCTAGCGCGAGAGGCCGGCCCAAGGGGCCGTTGCGGCGCGCGCGGGGCCGGCTAGGCGGGGGGTCGGCTAGGCGCGGGGCCGGCTAGGCGCGGGGGTCGGCTAGGCGCAGGGGCCGGCTAGGCGCGGGGTCGGCTAGGCGCGGGGGCCGGCTGGGCGCGGGGGCTAGCTAGGCGAGGGGCTGGCTAGGTATGGGGTCGGCTAGGCGTGAGGGGCCGGCTAGGCTAGAGGGGCCGGCTAGGCTAAAGGGGCCGGCTAGGCACGTGAGGCCAGCACGGCGCGAGGGGCCGGCACAGCGCGCTATGGGCCGGATGGGCGCGAGGGGCCGGCGGGGCACTAAGGGGCTGGCT